GCGCCCTGCCCTCGCTTACCGAGGGCGCGAAAATGGCTGCCATTATGAGGAAACATCACTTTACGGTGAGTGTAGAAGTATATAGAGAGTGTATAGCGATGTTTTCTCATAGCGATGGTTAATCCGGAACGTCGCTATACGGGGCACCACTGTACAGTTCCCTCCGTTGAAAAGCAATATAAAATAAACCCAGGTCAGGGATAGTCACCACTCCTCTTGTTGTATTGTACCTCTTTTGTGGGATTGTGCTGGATCTCTTTTGTTAACCATCTCAGGCACCCTCTGCAATAAATTTGATAAGTAGGTGCCAACAGTTAATAAGCTGGCATTTAGCTGGTGAACAAGTGGCACAAGAATTTCAGCAGAGCACATGCCTTTAACTGCAGCTACCTTTCCCTATAGGAAGAGTTTCAGGGTAGCCTCACTCCTTACTTGATCTCCATAGTTAATTTTCTGCAGGAAGCCAAAAAGAGCAGCCAGAACCAAAACATGCAAGCCACATGATTCAACACGCAACAGCAGCAATTGTCTGCACTAATTTCTTAACTTGTGGCAATATGCCAATGACCATTAAGCAAGGGTGAGAAGGGGCTATGTAACAAGCTTAGCACAGAGCAATAATGTTTACTATTAGTCTCTGAGGGTAAAACAATACATTTAGCACACACTTAAAAGGTCAAGTGTTGAAAACTATCTTTTCCTAATGGCATGTGACTTTTCTCAGTTCCGTATCTTCCTTTTGATTCTTATGTTTTATGATTGGCCATTGGAAGGTAAACACCAGCTTAATTAATCTAATAGTTGAGGCATGTATCTCTGAGGAAATCTCATTGCCTGAGGGAAAATGAACTAAATTACACTTCGCCTTGACAGTTTGACATTGAAACCACCATTAACTCATGCTAGGGATGCAAAGAACACTTGCTAAATTCCTCATTCTCATCAATTTAAGCTATCTTAACATGGCAAGACACCCGGATCAGGAATGTCCAAGCCCCAGAAGATTTCAGCATTGAACGCTTCAGTGTGATAGTGAGACGAGGAACATATTTTTCTCACCCTCAAGCCTTTTGGAATTTACACAAAACTTATGGCCTTCCCTTTAGCAGAAAGCACGCATACACACAGGAGACACAGAAAAACTAGCTCATGGTTTTAAAAGATCCCATCTGATGTTCCAGATTTCCTAAAGTCTAGGTAATAATGTAGCAGTTTTGACCATTGTTCATGTTCTGCAATTTGCATCAAACCATCTCATTTATAGCACTAGAAAATATCTTGCTCTCTTGCAGGGCAAGGAGGAAAATGTAGTCCCTCATCCTTTGTGTATTAGGACGAGACAGCCAAGGAGTTACAGCCTCACGCTACGTGGCCAACCTGGTATAAACCAGTAATAGTTTCAAAAGCAGTTTTCTAGCTTTTGCCATTATGAAGCTTGCTATTCAAAAGGAAGAGTATTATTTTTAAAAAAAAAAAAACACTTGGCATTTCCAGACAGCCCTTTGATCCCTGGGCCTTCTCTTCAAACACTTTTAACATAGAGGTTGCTTTATGGTTCCTGTCATTAATCTTTTCGACCCCCAAAATAACCCTGACAACTATGTCATTAGGATATCTACCCCCCAGAGGAGGCTCTGGGACTGAGTCTCATTCTAGCCAAGCAGCCCCCAAGAGGGTATTAAGGTTTTCACACGTGCCCTGAGAATTTTGATGTGTTAAAAAAATAGCCTCCACTCCTTCCCGGCAACATTAAGAGCTTCTGAAGACTCCTGAAGTTTTAAAACCTAAAGAAAACCCAGCACATATCAAGAATTAACTAATCAGTCTTCTGGATTTAATCCACGGTCTTGCTCAATGCCATCTAGTGTATCCATGCCTAAAGTATGACTCAAACTCTAATAATTCTACATTTCCCTTGATAACAAGGTTGAGTGACAGAATTCCTTTGGCTACATCCAGCCAATGAAGTTTTTGCTCAGTGCAATCACTGGGTTGATGTAAGATCCTTGCTCCAGAATTCTAATGCTGATGGAAGTCTATTCGGGAGAAAACAGCAGAAGCCATAGAAAAATCCGTGAGATGAAATTAGAGAAGGAAAATGGGAGCGAATGAGAAAGACAAAATATACATTTTACTCCTTAAACCGAATTTTCATGATTCAAGGCGTATAAAATAACTTTAATTCCTTTAGGTCAGACTAAGTTCCACATGAATTTTGTTATACCCCAATATATCTATGTTGGGGTGAGTCCATGCTGAGTTAGCCAAAGAAACAAACAAAAATCTCAAGAGATTCAAGATTCAGCTCATCTCATGGCTTGTTTTCTTTCAGTTGTCTTATAGTTACCTCTCTTTTACAGCAGTTACATTCTCTTTCATCTGTTTTAGCTTATATTTTTATAATACATGGTGGTACACATTGCGAGAAAGCAAAATTGGAGAGAGGAAAACCATTTTTATTTGTGTATATAACATCTTTGTACCCCAAAACTAACCTATATAAAATATAACATGGTAAATAATATTTAACTGACAGGGAATTCAAATGATTAAAAATTATCACAGTGTTATGCCTGGGTCACTAACTTATTCTTCATGTTTTTTGTTTCTTGCTTTTAAAAATATCCCATCATCTTCTCTTTGGGCTACTGCTGCTGCCAGCTTTAGACAAATTTTACTACTTTGTTTTCTTTAACCCATAATCATGTTATTGCAGGTTGTTAAACTTACAAACAAAATAAATTGTCACAATTGAATGATGTTTCTGAAGTCACAGAATTACAAAAGCAGCCTAAAGAAAAACCTCAATAGAAATGCAATCTGGAAGTGGCAGTGCTGTACTATTAATGGCAAAAAAGAGCCCTTTTTACAGAAAAAAAAAATTACGGGAAAAATCACAGGAATCCTCTGTTTAAATGGGACTTGACCGACCTAAACTAGTACGTAAATAAACAAGCAGGAGCTGAAAGTAATTAGCTTATCTGAAAGCTATATATTTGTTTAAGGGAGGGATGTGGTTCCAAAGAATGGATGGTTCATAGAGGGGGTGGTATGGTGAGCAGTGTCTTCTCCCTCTAGCCTGAATAAACACTGCCACCAAATGATTATCACTAGTAGAAAGAAGCACCTGCCTAGAGCATGGAAACATAACACTTTTGTACAAAACAGACAAACATATTTTGGAACTTTACCAGTGGAGCATTTCTGCTAATGAAAATAACACATGCCACTATATCCTGACCTCTGATTTCTCTCTCTCTTAAATAAGAATAAATTAGGAATAACACCAATCAGTTCAGTAGATCATGTCTGGGCAAAGGCCACTCTTGTTTCAAAAAGCCTGCTGTTGGCTCAGAGGGTGGGATGTAACAATATTGCATCTGTACATGAAATGTAGGTTCCGGTGTAGACAAATATATGCTTTATGGAGTGAAGCAAAATTTGCAAGCAGATCTGGCTTAACAACATACAGTACATTTCTGGCTTTTAGGGCTTTATTACTTCTCTTTCCTACTCATTAAATCTTTTTTGTTCTTTTTAAATGTCAAGAACCTAAGCACTTCTTTTTAAAAACCACTTTTAAAATATCAGGGGACGGAGGAGCCGCTCCGAGGGGTTGCTGCAGCTAGTAATTTACTGCCATAGTCTGTTCAACGTTGTTTGACATTATAAATTATTTTGCCTCGACCCAAAAAAATGTATGTTGACCTGACTTGAAAACTGACTCTCTGCTTCAGGTACAAGAAGGGCCAGAAAGTGACTGGAGATGAGCGCTTAGAACTCTTACACAAGGACACAAAGCATACTTTGTTCATTCAGAAGGTGTGTGACACAGATGCTGGCCTCTATGTGGTTCGGGCTAAAAATTCTACCGGCACGGTCTCCTCAAGTGCCGTCCTCCGTGTGAAAGGTAACGGGGCACTTATCAAGAGAATAGACTGGATAATTGTGTGTGCCCTTTACTTGGTTGTATCACTTGCACACTGCCTGTTCACTTAGTACAAGCACGGGGACTTCGCCGGAGTGTCACTTTCACAACAAGAGACAACAATAAAAGCCCACCTTTTGCTGCACCTCACAATCACTTTTGGCACTTTTGCTTACGAATCACTCTGAACAGAATGCTTTTTTATGTTTAATATCGCAACCATACTAGGTGCTGTTGTTTCCTGAAGCTATAATATTAATTTATAAAGCAACCCGGGATTTTTTTTTTCCGTTATGAAAGTGTTTTGGAACTAAACACAAGAATAAAATATATTTTTTTTCATGGGTGGTTTGTTCACAGATCACAAGATGCTCACTTCAATGTCTATATGGTTTAGAAACAAGCAGTTGCTTTAATGCCATTTAATGAAAAGGCATAAATGTTTTGCATACTTAAAATTTATACAGCACATGAAAATTGTTGAAAGGGCTTTTCTTACATTATCTCGGTAAACCTTGCAACACAGTAAGGTAGCGCCATGTTACTATTCCCTTAGTCCAAATGGGACAGCTGAGATTCAGGAAAATAGCAGCTTGCTCAAGACCACCTTGTGACGTTTTGACTCATAGTGTATACTTGTAGGACATTACAGTTTTTACCACTTTGCCGATGGTTTATCAGCTTGTCATGGTGAAGGATGTAACAATGGTTTATGGAAGTGTTTTCATAACATTTTAAAATGGTTAGCCAGGTTACTCTGCAGGAAAAACAGAGTATTCTGGTACCCTAAAGACAAACAAAAGCTCACACAGCATCCTGTTCACATTACCCTACTTGTTCAGATGCCACATCTGAAGAGGGGTGGGTTCATGTGCGCAAAAACTCATGCAAAATAAAGCTTTTAACATTTTTTATTCACTTTTAAACATTTTCAAACATTTGGAGTGAAGTTTGAGGTGATCCATATCTGTGCAGAATGGATAACATGCAAATCAAAGACATGGCAGAATATAAAACAAATAGGCTTTTATTGGTATGACCTTAGATTGTTAATGATAATAAGCTACAGAGTTCAGCTGAGTAACTATCAAAGAAGAGATCTTTCTTGGAAAGACTGCTACTTTCTATTTTTAAGTCCAGGAGCCAGAGTCACACTGTATTAGAACGTTTTGCCTTATAGAATATAATATATTTTATTCACAAAATATTATATTGCTAGTTTTTGCAAAGTTAAGAAAAGAGACTGCACTACTTAAAGAGAGATCACACAAATTCTCACTGTACTGAAACAAGTTAATCCTTATTAATCCATTTCCAATGAACATCTGGCATATATTGTATCCATGTTGTTAAAAAATTATTGATAAATATATGTGTATAATTTTTCTTGGAGAATAACTCTTCTTTCTTGTAATGAGTGCTCTGTGGGAAATTTATAAGAGGAAAAAAATTCAATCTCATGAAGGAAATTCATGTGAAAATAAATCTGAAAGTTCACAGCGTGCTGTGAAAAGAATATCTATTTTAAATGGTGGGGGTGGTGTGATGACAGAGTGGAGAGCATTTTTTGCCAGCTGATTGCAGATTTATTATAGGCGTGTAAAACTGAAAGAAGAGCCGTCTTCCAGGGAGCGCTATCCTTGCAGGGGAGAGAGGCCAGTTGATCCAAGACAACAGGCAGTCCTTATTCTGTAGACAGAATATGGTTTGCACGTTCTCCCTATATCTAGTCTATACATGAAAACAACTCTGCTCTATAAAAGGGCATTTCAAAAGGGAAATGCTCCTTTTGAAAAAAGATCCACAAAAATCTGATACTGCATGGGCTGCAGTGAAAGGTAAAACAAAAGTTATGAGGGGAGTGATAAAAGCTTCATGAGTGGCCACATATAATAAAGCTGCCTCTATGAGCGGTTTCACACATGGATGCCCATCAGTTGATGTGAACCCCATCACCCCATCGCTACCTGTATGTGTGAAATTAATCACTACTATTCTTTTTATACTGTCTCACTAGTCTTCAGACGCAGTATTTTTCTTTAGTGATGTGTCTCCAAGTTAATTAATAGTCATAAAGTGTTAATTATCAAGTAGAAAGTACACACATATGAATTAGGCCTAAGTAAAAAGAAAATACGGTTCTCATTAACTCCACTACTTCCAATCAGTGTGAGCAGTAAAAGAAAAGAAGAAGGATGTTCTGCCATGAAAGAAGAGCTGGAGGTTACTCACGGTAAAGCTCATGGTAAGGTGACCAAAATCGAAGAGTCAGATAAAGAGAGTTGTGCCGCCGTCCGACTTTGGAAAGTTACTTTTTAGGAGAAAAAAATGAAGCATGTAACTTATTGCAAAGCTGTTACTACCGGAATAGGTTATTAATATTAGAGAAAACGTATTTGTAACTCATTCCATTAATCATTCTGTTCCTGTTTGTGTTTTCCATTTCTGCTTTTTAAAAAATCCATCTAAAAAGGTATGGGAATATAGCCCAGGATGAAGGGGGTGGGGAAATGCCTTTGTAAACTACTGTACCCTGAAACAGGAAACAGGAGGATATTAAACTGTAGCGGTGACTCAATAACAGTACAGTATTACCAGCTTTTAAAAAAGATTATTACCTTTGTTATCTACAAAAATAACGCTACAGATTATTTTTACCATGTTATTTCTGTAGCTTAGACAGATCCTTTCTTGTATTACAACTCCCAGCATTCCCCAATGGCCAACAATTACTTCCAAGCTACGGCTACAGGCATTCTGAAATGATTGGGACAAATTAATTAGATTAATCAATTAATATTGTGATAAAACCTAAATACAGCTGTCTCTTCCGGACTGCTGCTGTCGATTGCGATACAGTACTTGCTTTCAGTGGATTTTAATTTGTAGCCGCTGTAGTTTTCTGTGTTTGGTAAAACATAGGAAGCAGCTTATTTGTACCTTCCTGCTGAAGCTCTCTTACCTGACGTATGTACGAAATTGATACCTGTTGATATTCCTCCCAAGAAATGATGGTTCTTACTGTTGTTCAACAGGATTAGATCTATCTGGTAACCATCCAATAAGATCAAGTTGCTCAAAGGATCCATCAGAACATCATGGGTATACTGCTGGATAGCTCAGTGGCTTAGGTGTCTGGGAGTTCAATTCTCCTGCTGTGCTTCCTTGACAGGGGCTGGACTTGGTGGTCCATAGCGTCCCTTCCAGCTCTACAGGTCTAAGGTAATGACGCTGAGGATAACAATTTACTTCAGTGATTTGATGAGGAGGAGCAACTGCTGCCACAGTGAGAACACTGATGGCTACCAAGGAGATAGACATCAGATGCTGCCATGCCTGTAAAAGCAACAGTCCCCTTAGGTTTCTACTACCTGGCACACATTTGCTGTCCCTACACAATTCATCACATGAGATTTACCTCATAATTTTCAATAGGCTTTTTGCTTCAAGGCAGAAATTACTTGCTTTTCTTCTCCAGACATGTGGCCAGTGAAAAAAATTTCATATTTTTTTATTAACGAGAATAAGTAGAAACTGAAGGTGGTTTGGGTTGGGGGGGGAGAGACTATTGCTCCTCCCTTCCCTTGCGTGACAGTCAGCTCTACAAAATGTGGGCTTTGCCCTCTTACCCCGGAATAACCACGTGAGACCAAGTGTATGGGTTAAACACGGGCCACACTTTATTAAAGTCCATTCTGTTCTCATGAACATTGCCAATCCTTTGGCAAAGGGGTGTGTGTCTTGCTGTAGTGCGGATTCGGATTTCCCTCTTGGGCTCTCGAATGACCATCGAACAGCCAGTAGGCTGGGCTCCGGCCTCAGTTATTCCCTTCTTTATTACCATGGGATAACTACTGGCCCCAAAAGGGCGACCAGCTAATCTCACACTAAAATATAGGGCAGGCGGGTGGGCTGCCAGATAAACATGGAAGGAGGAAGACAATAGGGTGCGTGCCCTTAAATGCCCTCTGTTTTCCGCACGCGAACAGCCTTGTAATGTTGCATGGCATCTGACGAAGCTGGCAAAGACATGCCTCAATGGGGATTCCTTTGCCCCCCTCTTCAGCGTTATCATTGTCCATCTCTCATGGCTTCTGTTGTAAACATGCATGTGGTCATTTAGATCTAGTATTAGATGAATTGGTTTGGCTTCAGGCTCATTGAATACTGTACTGGAGAAAGTTCCACCCTATTTTCCCAGAGAGGAGGAATTGGGGACATTTTTACTTAGGAATGTATTTATTTATTTGTCTTATTTATAGGCTTCCTTTCTCCTGATAAGGGGACTCAAGGCAGCTCACACTATTAAAAGAATAGAATTAACAGCACAATAAATTATACATTTAAAAACAATTTAAAAACTATAAAACTGATTTAAATACACAAAATAATTGAAAACCTATAACACATTAAAAACTTAAGTGAAAACTGGGATTCAGGGACTCAGTTATGATTATTAAAAGGTGGGTCTGCAGCTGTTGGTGGAGGGATAAAATGGAAGGGGTCAATCTGACCTCCCGAGGGAGAGGTCCCAAACTATCTATCTATCTATCTATCTATCTAATCTATCTATCTAATCTATCGGGATTCAGGGACTCAGTTATGATTATTAAAAGGTGGGTCTGCAGCTGTTGGTGGAGGGATAAAATGGAAGGGGTCAACCTGACCTCCCGAGGGAGAGGTCCCAAATTATCTATCTATCTATCTATCTATCTATCTATCTATCTATCTATCTATCTATCTATCTATCTATCTATCTATCTATCTATCTATCTATCTATCTATCTATAATTTACTGTAACTGATGTAAAATATTACAGTTGTGCACTGCATCTAGATATGGAATTGTTTATGAAATTTGAAGAACAGGCAAATCTCAAGATCAAGCTTTGCACTCAATCTTAGAATTGTCATTTCTTGTCAAATCATTTTTCCAGGGCTTACGCTATGAATGATGGAGCCCAAGCTGACCTGTTCTTCTT